GGCCTCGCGGGGGGCCCCAGGGGGGCCCCCAGGGGGTCCAGGGGCCCCCTTAGCTGCAGCCAGGCATCCATAGAGACGGAAAAATTAATTTGTTTTATGAGGGCGAAGGCTGCTGCTGAGGCGAGGTGGGGTGTATGCGGAGACAGCCGGAGCTGCCTATACACCTCAAAAGAAGAAACGTCTGGGTCTCCTGCTGCTGCTGCTGCTGCAGCAGCAGCAGCAGCAGCAGCAGCAAGAACAGAACAACGAATGATACGGCTGCAGCAACTGGAGACCCTCCACTGCCCTAGCTGTTTGCTTCCTGAGCTTTGCAGCAGCATGAACAGCAGCAGCAGTTGCTGCAGCTGCAGCAGCTGCAGCAGCAGCAACAGCAGCAGCAGCAGCAGCAGCAGCGAGGATACGTTGCCTATGCTGAAGCATCTAGACTGCTGGGGAGACAGCAGCAGAATCCTTTCTTTTATAAAACACAAAAGGAGACAGTTGGAGACAGTTTGCATCCGCTCTGTCACTGCAGCAGGAGACTGTCTCCTTGCTGCTGCTGACCCCCTGACCAGCAGCAGCAGCAGCAGCAGCAGCAGGAGCTGCAGCAGCAGCAAAAGAACCAGCAGAAGCGGCAGCGGCACCCTCACCGTCCCGCCGCCCACCAGCAGCAGCAGCAGCAGCAGCAGCAGCAGCTGCAGCAGCAGCAGCAGGGGCAGCAGGAGCAGGAGCAGCAGCAGCAGCAGAGTTGCTGCTGCATGCGAAGCAGCAGCTATTGTAAAAACTTATGAGGGCTCCGGCTGTATACTGAGGGCCCTCCCCAGCTGTCCCCATCTACACACTATCAAAGTCAGACAGACCCCACAGTTTTTTTTTTTTTTTTTTTTTTTTTTTTTTTTTTTTTTTTTTTTTTTTTTTTTTTTTTTTTTTTTTTTTTTTTTCTTCTTTTTACTTTTGCTGTCTCCTTTTTCTGTCTCCTTTTTACTTTTTTTGTCTCTTTTTAATTGTTTTGTCTCCTTTTTATTTTTTCTTTCTTCTTCTGCTGTCTTCTTTTTTTTCTCCTTTTTATTTTTTCTGTCTCCTTTCTGCTGTCTCCTTTTTCCTTTCTTTTTGTACTGTCTCTGTCTCCTTTTGCTGTCTCCTTTTTCTGTCTCCTTTTTCTGTCTCCTTTTGCTGTTTGTCTGTGTAATATATATATATGTATATATATATATATATATATATCCTGTCTCTCTATGAATCTATCTATCTCTCTCCCTTTATATATATTTAAATATGTATATGCATACACAAACAACTAAACAGAAAAAAATAAAAATAAAATAAATAAACAAACAAACAGACAAACAAATAAATAAATAAATAAATAAATAAATAAATAAGTAAATAAATAAACAAACAAACAAACAAACAAACAAATAAACAAATAAATAAATAAATAAATAAATAAATAAATAAACAAACAAACAAATAAATAAATAAAATAAATAAATAAATAAATAAATAAATAAATGTTTGTGTTCTTTGTTTACAGCTAACAGAGCATGCGGATCTCTCTGATTCTTTCTTATTAAGGGGGGGGGCCCCCAACCTCAGTACCCTTTTTTATGGGGGCCCCCTTCGTGTTACACCGCAGCGTCTTGCTGCAGCAGCAAAAAACCTCAGCTCTCTGCGTGTCCTCTTTGCTGCCTCTCTAAACCTAGAAGGGTTTGAACCTATAGACACACCTGCAGCAGCAGCAGCAGCAGCACCAGCAACAGCAGCAGCAGCAGCAGGAGCAGCAGCAGGAGGTGGTGGTACTAGTGGTGCTGCTGCAGGAGCATCGAGGGAAGCAACAAACTCTAGCGTGGGGGTGGGGGGCCCCCTGGGGGGCCCCCTGGGGGGCCCCTGGGCCCCAAACCCTAGAGGGGGGGGGGCCCCTGGTTCAGG